AGGTACTGGAAATGTGTGTGGCTTCTGCTGAAACCTCACTTCCAGTTCTGGTCACCATAAGAAACAGTTCTGGTAGAATGACAGGAAGACATCAGTAGAGGTATTAAAAACATATTGATGTTTTATGACATTTGAAGGAAGTGAAATTAGATGAGTAATTTTAAACTAAATTCTGAAATGGTGTATTAAATGTTGTTTGGTCACAGGAAGCTGAGTGTACTGCTGTCTAGCAGAGATCTGAGTTTTGCGCTTGTAGCAGTAGCACAAATTTTGAGTTTAAATCTCATTGCAGTAAGATTTATACAACCACAGAAAACATGACTAGATAGATTTCTACAGGAAAGCCCAATCTTCTGCCATACAATAGTGCTATATAATTTCTTTGTATTGGCAAATAAGAAGGGGGGAGGGAAGGAAAAACACCTTTCTGTCTGAAGTATCAACACTGGCACTTCTATTTTGGATATTATTTTAATGCCATGTTTATTGTGTAGCTTGTTGCTAATCTTTTCAGCACAAACACACATACTTTTCATTGTATTAATGAGACTTTTTATTTTTAGAGGATTTTCAACTGATAACTTTGTTGTACGCATTTCCAAGTAGCTGACATCACCCATATCCAGGATTTGTTGAGAGAATCTCAAGTTCTTCTGTCTTATGACATCAAAATTCTCACTTTATTGTTCTCTGCATCAGCTAATCTCCATATCTTCTTGGTTCTGTATGCTGAAATCTTCATAGCTACCCCAGAACTGAAGAAGCCTCCACTTTCCTCAGTCACTTTTATTCCTGTTACTACATCTGTGGTTACATTAAAATAGAACCAATGCACAATGCATTTGCTGCCAAAACATCAAAATCAGAAACTGCCCAGAAAGCCAGCCATATCCTGGGGTGCATCAAAAAGAAGAATGGCCAGCAGGTCGAGGGAGGTGATTCTGCCCACCCGGAGGATGCTGGGCACCTGAGCACAGGAAAGATATGACCTGTTGAAGTAAGTCTAGAGGAGGGCCATGAAGTTGATGAGAGGACTGGAGTACCTTCCCCTACAAAGACAGGCTGAGAAAGTTGGGGCTGTTCAGCCTGGCAAAGAGAAGTTAGCATGGAGACCTCATAGCAGCCTTCCAGTATCTGAAGGGGGCCTACAGGGAAGGCGGAGAAGGACCCCTTGTGATAGGACAAGGAGTAATGGTATTAACTGAGAGGCAATTTAGGTTAGATATAAGGAAGAAATTCTTTACTGTGAGGGTGATAAAGCACTGTGCCAGGTTGCCCAGAGAAGTGTGGATGCCCCATCCCTGGAAGTGTTCAAGGCCAGGTTGGACGGGGCTTTGAGCAACCTGGGATAGTAGAAGGTGTCCCTGCCCATGGCAGGGGTGTTGGAACTATGTGATCTTTAATGTCCCTTCCAATCTAAACCATTCTATGATTTTATGAACTGTGTTGATAATATCAGTGATGTAAAAAGAGGGAGAATGTTGGGAAGAGAAATCTCCAAATTTAAGTATTGTTCCAGTTCCATTTATCTGCATAGGGCACAAAGCACCTGTTACCTCTCTTTGAATCTGAGTGTGATGATGCTTTGCTTCATTTCACTTCGCCTGAGTTTTTCTTGAAGTAACTGGTGTTTGTAGTTGAAATTCTAAGCATCAAAACCATTTGTCATTTTAGAAATACTCATATATCTCTTCCCAATTCCCTAGTTTTATCCAAGGATGTTGGTCCTTCAGGTGGTGTTTTTTAAATATTTATTTGTTTCAACATCAAAAGGTCATTCAGGTCCTTTAAAAAGAGTTTTATGAGCTTAATCTTGGCTGTACTGGGCAGCTGAGTTTTGTAGGTGCTGTGGATGGCCTGGCTTGGACTGGGAGCTGAGGAGCTTGGGGGGAAATGGGTATCTGTATTCATAGCCTGTGAGAGTCCCTGATGGTAGTAGCCCTTGGAGATGCTGATAGGAAAGAGGTCTTCTATCATGATGGGAAGTTCTGAATCCTTGTAGATCAAATTAAATGACATTGCATTAAGTCTGAAGGTCAATATGTGTGCAGTGCAGATTATGGACTAGTAGTGATTTGAGAGTTTCCATCATCTAGGCAGGCTGCTGAATTTTGTGTTTTACTCTTCTGGCTTGACCTAAAGTTTGGCTCCATTTTAGTAATGCAGGCTTGCAAGGTCATGTTTTATGATTACAATATCTACATCCAGAGAAATAAATGGCTGCAATTCCTTATCCAGGTGTAGGATGTAGAAAATAATCCCATATGCTACTACTGTACCTATACATCCAGCACAATCCTCATTGAGGTGGCACAAACATTCCCCTCTTTAATAAACCCAGAGTTTATTTGATCTGATGGCAAAATGCAAAAAAAACCACAGCTCTTTTTACGGAAGTAGGAAATTTGTGATTTAAAACAGGTAAAAATCACATATTACAAGTTACCATTGTAATGGGGCAACTGGTGGTTCCATAGCTCTTAACGCAATGGAAAGCTAAATGTATAAAGTTTTAGAAATGGAGTGATGTTTGCTGGTATGCTTGTCTAGTGTTAGAAAAATATGGAAGCCTGAATAAAAAGTAAAATTGCATTTATTCGTATTTTTATAGAGTTAAAAAATGTGCTTGTTGGTAGAAGTAGGTGGCTACATCAACTACAGCATATATTGATGCCTCATCGATTCTAAGCATTTACCTTATTGCAAGCATTTGTGCAGGTTACTATGAATAAACATAAATACTGATCTGTACGTGTTGCCCTTCCACTGACATAGAGATATATTACCTTACTTTGGAAGTCTGTACACCCTTCTACTTTGCATAGATGGCTAAAGGAGATGCAAGGCACCCGTCTTTGGAGAGGCAATTTAGAGGAGAGAAAAAGGTCTTTGTGCGATTTTACAGCATAGTCTGGTTGTCAGTAGGGCAGATTTTGGTCCCAGAAGTTTTATTCTCTGCATTATGAGGCATCATACATTCCTTTCTTAAAATAAAACAGAAAAGCCCTTCGTTTTTACTGTTAAAATTTTTTTTGTAGTTGGCAAAAATAATTTTTTTAACTCGTTTCTTTAGCCTTGCTTTTACTTTTTCATTATTTATCCTCTAGACCTCACTATATCTTCACCCTTTTCTTTGTCCTTTTTTTAATAAGGGGATGCTCCCAAAAAAGTGTTGCTTGGCTTTTTATGCTAATCTTGCTTGTATTTCAATTCATGTTGACTTGGAGAATATACCTTGTAAATAGGAATACCACCTGACATACTGAATACAATCCTCAGTTTCTAAACATTGATTATTTTCACAGCATCTTTAAAGGGTAAGCTGTCTTACTGTCCAAATATCATGGCTGGGAAACTGAGGCTAACAAAGGCTGTATGATTTATGTGAAGCCACAGTGGGAATAAACGTTGGGTTTAGAATTCCTGGCTTTTGTTCTTGTGTTTGGATTCATGCAGTCTCTCAAAGAAATACTGATTCCTCCTAATATTGCATACCTTTCCTTGTCTGGTAAATGTAACAATTCAAAGAGTAGCTGATACTCAATTCTCTGTCTGTCCTGTTGAAACTAATGAATGCCTGCTGGCAGGCACAAGGTATCGTTACCTTTGGCAACCAGTACATTTTATGTTTTAAATTATGTGTTTCGCAGAATTTTTGGATACTAATTTGATATAATGAGATGCGCTTCTAATATCAACCCTAGTATAGGAAGGCCTTGCAGCCAGCCTACTCTTTATTTAAAATTATTCCATTTCAGATGTCCTAATGAGTGCTGTGAGTTGTGTAATTCTTTCATAATTTTCCCATGTTCCCAGAAGGGAACTAGGAGCTGGAGTTCTTTCTATTTTTGTTTTGGTTTATTTCAAATTAGAGTAAGCATAGAATAAAGATCTAGGGGAAGATTTTTGTGAAACAGTTGCTATTGTGGGAATGGCAGTTAAGAAAAAATATTATAGTCTACAAATGTTAGTGTTTAGGCAAGTCTCAATGCCTCTGCTGTTTACTGTTATCTTATAAATATCTTGACTCTGACTTTACAGTGCTGTTTATAGAATTTAATAAAGCAAATGTAATAATGCTGCCTGTGCTTTAATGCACAATCTCAATTGAGTTGACCAGAAGATAAATAGGAACAGGAATGATAGTGCGTTCCTACAGATTGTTTTTAATAAGCATGTTATTTAGTTGATCAGCCCGGTACTGTAATGCCTCCTATCCTCCACTACCAGACAAATTTATTAATGTCCCCCCCCCATTTCTCTGAGAACATTGATTCCCTGCAGACATATCTCTATTAAACCTCTAGAAAGTCACAACTTCCAAATTAGATTAAGTAGCAGGAATGGTACTAGAAGAATCAAAGAAAATTGAGTGCCTTATTGAATTCATGCCACATTGTCTGCGGAAGAGATGGGAGTTATGTGTAGTGGTAACTTTTGTCTTTACTGTACTAACAAAGCTGTGGGCATTGCTGTCAAACCTAATTGTCTGCAGCGCATCAGGATAAAATGAATCTTTTATCTAAACTCTTACCTACTGAGGTTTTACAGATGAGAAGTAGATTTCAGAAGGAAGCTTTACAATTGATCAAAATCATTTGCCATTATTTGCTGTACACAACCCTATCCTAAAAATTCTAGTGAAAAAAATTTTAAAGAAGCACCTGGCTTTGGATTGGAAGCAGGCTTGCTTGTCATGCTAGTTGCGAAATGCAGATATTCATTTTAAAGCTGCCAATTTCTCATTTTGATCTGACATATTAAAAAGCATATAATTAATGGTTGACATTAGTAATTAACATTAACTTTATAGTGCTTAATATGCCATCATTCATCCATCAAATAACCGGTATGCATAATGTCTTTGCGTAAAGGTTTTAATTGCACAAAATGATCCTTCAGTTCCCAGGCTCTACAGTTTAAAGTAGTTGTAAATGCGTTTTAAAAAGATGTGAATTTTTCATTTATTGAACGTAAACATTGTTTTTGTTTCTCCCTAGGAGTGTGCACGAACGTGTAAGCCAGGGACTTCAACTGGGGAACACAGCCCCAGACGCACAGCTTCCATTAGTGGCTAAAGAGCACCACCTTGCTGTCGCCAGTGCTCTCTGGAGAAATTTCTTTCCGTACTTGAAGAGCCAGAGAATGTCACAGATGCCGCCTTCCCCTCAGCTTGCTGATACAGCTGCAGGTTAGCCCTGACCCCCCCGCGACTTACTGGACTTGGTGCTATTTTCTGGGTCACAAACTTTGAAGGATTTTGTATTTTGAGATAATTAACTATTCATAAATGCAAAAAGTAGATTCTATGCTAAATAGTTTGACACAAAGAAATATTATAGTGTTGAATTCCTTAATAGGATACAGACAGATTGAGAACACCAAAGGGGTTTGAAGATGTACAAGCCTGACTTCTTTTTCACTGCTAGTCACAGGTTATTATCAACATTGCAAATGTTATACAATATAAATAAGAATTATGTTTTTCACTATATCCAGAATTTACATACTTTTGTAGAAGTTTATTATAATTTTGTGTTGAACTATTCATTATGGTTGAAATACAAACTAAATATTTTAAAATAATATTTTTCATTTGAAGACAATTTTTAAAAGGTTGCATATAGGACTGCTGTTTTTTGCCAAACTGTTATGGTCATAAAAATATTTCATAATTAATTGTAATTATTTATCATGCTTTACACTGGAGGTGTTTAATCTTGAAGTACAACATTCCATATGTGTGTGAACTCCACATGCAACAAGTCAGCTTGGCAGTGAATAGAAAGATATCCCAGTTTGATCTTTAACATCAGAAGCTAGCATTGTATTCTGCAGTTACAATGAAATCTTGTATCCATTTAACTAAAATTCAGAGGAGTGCAATATAAAATATTTTTCCCATCATGATATGAATTAGATAAAGTTACGAGCTCAGGGGTACTGAGTTGGTAATAGGAAAGCTAAAAGATGCTTCATTTGAAGCAGCTCTGTGGTAGTTAAGAGGTAACATTAATGAAAGAGGCAGTGTGCAACAGTAGTGGTCTCACACCGCTGAAGAGTATGTGAGAAACAGCAATACAAATCAAAGGAAGAGGTTGTTAATGTCAAAACTTCATTCATTTCCTACACACATACAGTGTCATATCTTTTTTTTTTATTTTATATTAGCACAGTGAAATAGCAAGAGCAGCAACCTATTATAAACTCCTCTGAGAAGCAGGGGAGTGCAGTTGTGACCTGCTTTATAGAGATGTGTTAGGTAGCACTACAGAGGAAGGCAAACCTTTCCCACACTGTATGAGCTTCTTGCCTTAGAGGTTGCAGCCCAGAGGACAGAGCAGCTGTCACAGCTCTCCTGCTCCCCCTGCCAGGCAAATAGCCTGGGACTCACATTACTGTTCCTGTCTCCCATTTCTCCCCAAACTATGTTATGGCTGATGCTGCAGAAATCTCTGGAAAAAGGCAGGCACAAAATGTTTCCTTACCTAAGGCAGAGTGGGGACTCTGTATGACTTTGTTTTTTCCAAGGCACATAAGGAAATGTGAACTCCTTCATGGCTTAAGGTAGTCTGCCCCTATACCATTAATTAAAATAATTTCATTGTTGTTTCTGAAAACTAGCCTTTTCCATCTCATTCATCTTTTCAATGTATGCAGGTTTATACTTATTTTAATATTAATTTATAATTAACTTGAATTGGAGAATTAGGAAACTAGTGAGCCCCTTTTTAATCGCCCTCTAAATTCAGTTTTCCTGACTTGTTTGATGCCTCTCATTTCCTATAGCCTAATAATCACTCAGCATTTCAGATTACATTTTCTTTCTGAGTTTTAATATATGTGTCATTTGCAATATAAAGAATGCACTGTATTTTTTATTCTAGTAGTGTTAGATATAGACTGTTCAGTAGACATAACAGAAACAGCAAAAGATTATGCTTCATTAACAAAATTCTGCACAAAATACTGCCCCAGTTTCTAGATCTGCAACTGTTACATGAAGATCCTTTTCAAGAGTAAATTTGTCTACAGTGCTTTTTTTGTATGGTAAATTTGATACATGTATGTCTATTCCAAAAATACAAAGGTACCAGCTTTTACTGAGTGAATTCTTTACAGATACAGTTCTTCACTCTGAGAAACGTGTAAAAAAACTGAACGAAATAAATAAAACTCAACCCTCTAAAGCACAGTAATATTTACATGTACAAGAGAAGATGTAGTGGATGAAGGTAAGAAAGGGAGGTCAAGACAAAAAAACCAGGTTTTAAGACACAGTTTTTACTGCATAGGTGGTAAAGTTGTGCCTTCAGGATTTATAATATGTGGGTTTGTGAATCTATTTAAAATTGCATATGTTTGGATCCATTTTCCCTCTTTTGCAGCCAGTGTGTCTTGATGACAGAAACTGCTGGGATAGAGACTACATTTTTAGTGTGGGTGCACTCTCTGTTAGAACAGTTGCCCTAGCTGCACATTATTAATTGTAATTAATTTTCAGTGCTTTTTAGTGGAACAGGAATGTACCAAGAAACTATTAAGATGTTTTTTTCTGTCTTTGAAAACAGGTTTTACTCTCTTAGCTTTGGATATACCCAGCAAAGCCCTATCAGATCTCCAGCCACAGCCTGTTCTATCAATGATGCAGCTGTTTGGATGGGATGACATGGTGTGGCCTCAGCTGGTGTCAAGATATCTAAGTCATCTAATTCAAAACAGGTGAAAAATTGTGACTGCTTGTTCTTCCAGTACCTTCTCATCCTTCATTAGATGTGTGGAAAATGTTGCTTCAAATGGTAATGTTTCAGTAAGGTGGTCCACGTTCTTTGCAGCTTTTCAAGCATCAGGACAATCCATTCAGATTTTTATATATATGAGAAATTTTATTTTCTCTAAGTAAGCCTCTGTGGACCTAAGATAGATGGGTGATGGTGTTTTTTGTGGCATGCCTTTTTCCCTGCCTTGCCCGTTTCTGAATCAGGTTTTGGAAGCAGGGGAGGTGAGAAATGAGAGAGAAAGAGGGAATATTTCTGTGTTGGACTGTATTTGAAAGTGAAAAATGTTGCACATTTTTAGGGTACATTTTAGGAGCATAACTGTAAGTCAGGATATGGTAAAGATTATTTAAGTGTGATTGACAAAGATGAGGCTGTGGCCTTCTTGCAGGGAGGTGTTAAAAAAAGTTGCATTTAGTTCCTTGTGTGTCAGTGTGGAACTTGGGAGTGTTCAGTCCTCTGATTTGCCATGTTTCTCTTTTATGATCTTTATAGGGTGAGTTTCATTCAAGGTTACAGATACCTAGCACATGCTGAATGCAATAAGAGGCACATAAATTCCCTTTTATAATTTGAATTTTGTAGTTTGAATCTTCTTGTTCTTCAGGCAAGATCAAGAAAAACATTTTGATGCCTAAACTGAAATTTTGGTATTATTTAGGTTCTTAAGATTAATTTCCAGTTCCCCCAGTAAACATTCAAGTAAGTGATTGAAAGCAATTACTTAAGTATTCCTTAGCAGTATTCATTAAGCACCCAACATATTGTTAAAAATGTATACACAGATACATTTTTATGCTAGCTGAGGTAATATTTATGGTATATGGAACCATGGCCAAAATATTCCTTTTTCCAGGTGTTTGGAAGCACGATTGCATTAGCAAGTGCAGAGCACAGACACATATCAAGTTTCTCATACAGCCCTGCTGCCAAAATTTCTTCTAAAAATGCAGTTATCTGGCATACATTATCTGAGAGGTTAGAGCACTTGTGCAGCAATTTGGAAAACCCATGTCAGGTGGGTCTTGCACTCTGATGGAATTCAAACCTTTGTTTCGAAGTACTACCTTAGAAAGGAATGAGAGGGACTTGACCTCCTCTGGCAGATTGTGCTGTGGACTAACTGACAATGTCAGGTTCATGGATCCATACTGAGAGAATTAGCAGGAGAAGGCATGGTTCCATAATTAGGTGATAATGGACATTTGTTTATTTGTGTGTATGCTCTCACTCTGGTTCTCTCTTATGTGTTCTCACTCTGCTTTCCTGAATCTCCTTCATGAATCTGGAAGCATGGGACAGAATGCACTCATGCAGAGGCAGGTAATTTTACCCCTAAACTGTTGGGTTTTCCATTGGCCAGGCTCAAGGAGAATTGTTACCCTTAACAATTTCCTGAAGCCAACAAGTTAAAAACTTAAGTATCTGAGAATAGGCAAAGGTATGTCCCCACCTTACTAACAGAGCTGTAGGGTGCTCAGATTCCTGGTGAAAGAGCAATGAGTACCTAAGTTAATGAGTACTGTCATCTTGAAAGCAGTTTTTTGTAGCATGATTCATGTACTTATTTACCTTAGGCACTTGTAGAGCCAAAGTTATCGAAGTATCTAAGTGGTGGGATCTTTAGACTTCATGGTTTCTGCACTGATAATTTTCACATCAAACACTGTCAGTTAAAAAGTAAAAAGATTCTTTTGTTTCCAGTACATACTCTGCAAGCTCTGGGAACATAAACACAAGCTTTGGCATTTCTTTTGCAGTAGTGCCTAAAAGTTTCTTACCACAACCACGTTGTGTGGTGCATGATAGTATTATAACCTGTTTAAACTAATTTTGAGTATGTGAATAAGATCACTGTTTTAAAAGGACCATTTGCCATGGTTCTAGCAGGTAGTTATTGTTCTTTCCTTTCTAAGGATTAGGAGCATATTCTTCTCCAGTTTTAGGAAGATGCCAAAGTCGCCCACCTACCAGCAAGCAAGAGAAATAAGAGTGAGACTACAACAGAAAGTGTTTTTTTGAGCCTTTGTGGCCAAGTAGACTAGCTGTGTACATGAAGATTACATGAGAATGAAATTGTTTACACATTACTGCAAAGAGCATTAAGTCCATAGGGATCTTGTTTTTTCTTTTTTGGTACTGGAATACAATGTTCATTTTTTTCATTTTATTTCCTTGCATTTGGTCTCCTTACTTCGTCAGGGATCTTCAGACAAAATATAGAATTGTCACTGGTTTGAAGTAAATGAAGCAGAAAAAAACCAACTTTATTAATGTTGTTTAGTGAGAAGCAGAATCAGTTTGGTTTCCATCTGGAAGTCTTGACTTTCTGTTGCAAGCATGAGTAAAAATCAGTAGAAAATAAGTAGAATTACATGTACATATATCAAGAAAAGAGTACAAACATTTTTCATTAAAGTTGAAGTACCTACAACTGACCAGGGAGGAAATCTCTCAAATAAAAGGTGTAACTATTTTCAAGAAATTTCACTGACCTGAAGCACACGTGGAGCTCATCTGATAGGAACTGGAAACAGAATGCAGAACAGACCTGCTGTCTTTTAGCAAGGAGTTTCTAAAGAATTAATGATGCGAGGCTGATATGCTTGGGAAAGAGTGACTGTAGCAGCTACTCATTGTAGTAAGGCAAGTAAAAGTTTATAATTACGGAACAGTAGAGTTCTGAGTGACTTTGGTCTGACACTTCAATGGTAAAATGATAGCGAGTGTTTGACTGAAAGTATATACAGCAAGTTTGTGTGATCTTTATACTTGTGTGTGTATACATGCATAAATGCATACGTCTGTAATGTACTGCCAAGTATAGTGGTTTCTTTCCTCATCTCCAAGGTGCCTTTTTATATTTCCCTTTTCATGTGTTTTCAACATAACGTATCTTTATTTGCTAAAGCAGACCTTCTCCATCTTTACTGTAGTTAGAACGAAGCAGATTTCAGAGTAGCGTGGGGCACCTGGGCTAGCTTTATATGAAAGGCTGGAGTAGCTTGAGCAGTGTCAATATGGAGTTCCAGGCTGCTTCAGATATACTGTCTCCATCACTGTACACTGTCAGCTTAGATAATACTGTCAAATTACCCATTGTCGGAGTAAGCCATTTCCCACTCTGTGCATTTCCCTCCACCCTGTTTTATGTAACCAAAACATATGTACATGTGTATATATACCTTTAAATTACCATGGGTGACATTACCAAATTTATCATGTTCTCTCTGTTTAGGCATCAGGATATTGTGAGCAAAGTCTGTAGAGTATGCAAAAGCAATGCCAGTTGACCTTTCTGTTGCTTTAATTGTTTCTGTGCACTGTTTCTGTATGTCTACAGCCAAATGAGACACTCTGCTACCCTTTTTGCCTACTTTTATTAGATCACCCTACCTTTTTCTTCCTCTTCTACCTATGCAGTTCACTGTGTGAAGCTTTTTCTAGTATGGGATATACATCCTATGAAGCTCTGACAGTACGTTCTTGGTTTCGATGCATTTTGCAAATGTTCATAGATCAACCAAGTGGTGTTCTGGCCAAGACAGATGCTGAGCGAACAGTTGGTAAGTGTTCACATTTCCCTAATGTTTGCAGTAACGATTCTATATTGCAAAGCTGGCAAACATTTTCAGCTAATTACAAAATGTATTTTTGTTTGTATTCCTTTACTTTTACCTAATTACAAAATGTGTTTCTTTACACTGCTTGTGCTATTTTTTGATAGTTTGCCTGCTCTGCATATGACAAATTTATCACAAACAAAGATAAAAGAGCTTGTTTCCTTGGAAGCAAAGAATAAAAACTTGCTCCCAAGGAGACAAGCTATTTTTCCCCCATGGAGAAACTGCTCTAAAAAAAGTGAATCTGAAGTAAATAGTTAGAAATCATGCTGTGAATAGCCGAAAAGAAAAGAAAAGGGAAAAAAAATCTAGTTGTAATTAATTCTGGCCTTTTTTGTGTTGGATATTTTACTTTCTTAGAGAAATACTTCAGCACTTCTTCTAAAAACACTGCAGTTCTAATTATCTCTCATACACATTTTGTAGATTTTGAAAAAAAACCCCCACCAGTACCATGAAAGACTTGGTTATCCATACTTAAAACTATTCATTCTCTTATGACTGTATTAGAAAAATAACTAGTTTGGACATGTGGTCTTTGTCTGGAGAGATACAGTTAGATGCAGAATCCTTGTGTTTTGGACATTTTAAAATAATGTTTCACTTTATCATTTTGGGACTAAAGTAAATCTAAAAGGATAACTGTATACTGTATTTACTGCTGTGCTCTCTTGTCATCATCAGGGAAAGCCTATATGGAGCAGCTGACTGAAATGACAAGACTGATTTTTAAACTCTCAGAAGTAGAAAACATTCTTTCAAAGGCTCGTGTTGAAGAATCAGTTTTCAAACAAGACCCAAAATATGCTCTTGTCCAGTTCATTAAGGTACTGTACACCTATCCCTGTGTCAGTTTAGTGAAAAGGAACTATATATCAGACTGGGGGTTGAAAAAGAAATTACTCACAAAAATCTCATGAGAGACTTAGTAAGTTTATTTATATTTCTTTCAATGTTTTTGTTTTCTCAGGCTGTTGGTAGAACTTACAGTGGCCTTCAGACACTCCCTGAGAAATCTGCCATGGTAGCAAAGACTCTAGAGTATTTAGGTGATATATTAAAGTATGTAAAACCTTACCTGAAGGCAAAAGGACCTCCAGAAGGTCTGCAGCTTACATATTGGATCATAGGTAATTATTTTGCAACCTCTTTTTTTTTTTTAGGAAATAGTTTTAAGACATCAATAAAATAAATTATTAATACTTTTTTTCCTCTATACTATCCATATATATTTATATTTCCTCTATAGTATTTAACGGTTTAAAAAAGAAACTCACCAAGATGTTACAATTAGATATTTAATTATTTTCTGCAGATTTGCTTTGATCTTGATGTCTGACCTCCTTGTGGTTTTTGTTTGTGGGGTTCTTTATTACACCTACAAATCAGTGTTTTCAAGAGTAAGATGTTTTCATGTCTTTCACTACTGAAAACTAAATGTTTAACCTAAACAAACTCAGAAACAGTGACAAGAGTTGGTTTTTGACTATTTAGCTGTAATTAAAATTGTTATAAGTCATAGCAGTTCCTGAAGTTACAGCAATTCATGCCCACAGTGGATCTGCTCTTCCCATAGGGGGTTGTGAGAGCTTTTCATATGTGGTCTTTTGTTGTCTCCTTCCTCTTCCCACTCATATTTTAAATGAAAGTGATGAGTTCTGAATTTTTCCTACACAGCATGAAAGTAGATGTAAAATCTTCTTAAAGATTTCCAAGTTTTGAACCATGTGGATTGAGGCAACATGCACTTGGTGTTAGGTATCCAAGCTATTGGGAATAGCCTGGCTCACCAGTGAAATCACTCGCCAGAGGACCACTTATTTAAATTAATTTTTCAATTGCTGTGTAGTTGTCATGGTTTGAGATAGCCCCAAAATCCAATCCCCTAGTCTAAGCCCCCTCCCACATCTCAACCTAAT